GCGGATCCACAGCCACCCCTCCATCCAGCCCCTGGGTACCCTCGTTACAGAATCTGCCACTCACCATAGTAAAATGGGTCAGGATCCTGAGGAACTGTGGGAAGAAGGCAGAGAGAGAGAGAGAGGGGAAAACATTTCAACACTGGGCTTTTTAATTATTTGAGGGTCCTAATGGGGCCACTGGCCCAGTGGTTTCTGTGTAGAGATCAGATCATTGAGACCCTTTGCTCTGGACAATGTAGCCTCATGGCAGGACACAAAACTTAAAGACTGGAGCATAAGCTGGATTTTAGCCCCAACTCACTCCATTGGTCTATACCTTCCCTTATACAATGCCCAACCTACCTAACTGTACATGGCAGTCCTGATCTTAGACCCCTATGGAAGTCTAAGGCAAGCATGGACTCATTTCTTGAGAAACACATATACACTCTCTTTTGCATATGATACTGGGAGTATGAATCCCACTGGAGAACTGCTCAGCGTATCAGCTTCCCCTGAACACTCCCTACAACTTCTCGGTCTTCTGAGAGCTCCGAAAAGTAGGCACTGTGACTGCTGCTCTCTTCCATTTGTTCCTGCCACCAAATCCAGCAGACAGGAACTGTCCAAAAATTTATATTGTATTATTCCTATATTACTTATTTCTTGGACACCATCAAATTAAAGATTCAAAGTTGATTTTGTGGTCACTTTCCCAATGTGTGCAGGTATGCATGTATATGTATGTAACTGTACCACATAAAAACATACTGATCCACTAGAAGACTCACCCTGATTTCTAAATGTTAACATGTGGATAATGTCTATGGCGGCTTCCTTGGTGGCTCAGATGGTAAGGAGTCCACCTACAATGCAGGAGATCTGGGTTCAATCCCTGGGTCAGGAAGATCCACTGGAGAAGGGAATGGCAATCCACTCCAGTATTCTTGTCTGGAGAATTCCATGGACAGAAGAGCCTGGCAGACTGCAGTCCATGGGGTCGCGCACAAAGAATTGGACAAGACTGAGCAACTCACACTTTCACTTTCACTAATGTGTGTATGTATGTGTGTGTCTTTGTGTATGTGTGTGTGTGTGTGTGTGTGTATTTACTTTTCCCCATCTCCCACCTCCCTGTCTCAAATGGTATTCTCCTCCAGGAGATCTCAGAACATCTTTCCCATTCACGAAACCCATCCTGCTGCTTCGCTAATACACTGACAGCTTTTAGTACACCTTGCCTTGTTTAGAGTGAAATTCTGCAAAACATGCCCCACTAGGGGAGGGGGTGTACTGGGAATACAAGGGTGATGCCAGATGTTGTCATTAGTGTCCTTCCCCCAACCAGGCTCAGGAAGGATGGCTACCTTGAGGTTGGGAAGGAGAACATGTGACTAATTCTGGCCAACGAACCGTGAGTCTGGTCTGCAGCATTAACTGCCCATGCAAGAGCTCTCTTTTGCCTTTGGCTTGGTGACATGAATGCTCAAGAGTGTGGCTGCCCCAGTTTTCTTTGGGAAGTAGAGACCCCTAGTCAACCCGTGGTGGACACATGGTCTAAGTGAGAGATCTACTCTGGTTGTCAGAAGTCACTGAGATTTTTGGTACTCTGTTTGCTGTTGTTTAGTAGCTCAGTCAGGTCTGACACTTTTATGACTCCATGCACGCCAGGCTCCTCTGTCCATGGGATTTCTCCAGGCAAGAGTACTGGAGTGGGCTGCCATTTCCTTCTCCGGTGGATCTTCCTGACCCAGGGATCAAACCCATGTCTCCTGCATCTGCAGGCAGATTCTTTACTGCTGAACCACCAGGGAAACCCTTGGTCCTGCATACTGTAGCTTAAACTGACTGATGCAAGACCCTGAATAGCACTGATTCACCGTAAGTTCACCCTCTTCAGTTCCCTGTCTAGTTTTCAAAGAGACAGTCTTAAAAAGGAGCTGATATATCTCTACACCTTCCAACCCTTGTTAATCTCTCAAGAGAAAACAGGCCTTGGGCTCAGGGTCTTCAGCAGGTAATAATATCTAAGTAGACTGTTATGACATTATTTGATTTTCTCCTTTATTTCTTTATCTAAGTAGCACTTGATAGCACTGATTCCATGCCAGGCTCTCTTCTAAGCTCTTTACAGATATTACCACACTTAATCTTCACAGCAGTCCTCTGATATAGGCACTATCTTCATTCTCTTTCCACTATAGATGAACACTGAGGCCCAGAAAAGTGAAATCAGTTGTTTAAGATAATTTTAATACTTGCTTTCAATGTAAGACAAAAAAAAGTCCTGATTTTCCATTTGTGGAGGTGATATAAAATAAAGCTAACAACGTTTTTTAAAAGTTAATCCTTTGAAGGAAAAAAATGTTAAATGTCAGTGTGGGGAACATTTGGACAGAGCAAAAATCATAAAGGTGGTACTCATAAGCATCAAGATGGGAAAATATTACTTTAGAGTCATCTCTGCTCTGTCTTAGCTCCCCTACCAGATGGAGAGCAAATTTATTTGACTCATCCCTGCTGTTAATCCTGGCATTTATAAAGTTGTTCAAAAAACTTTTCTAGAATGAATGGATGAATGAATGAATGCTGCCCTGCTAGGCATCATCAGAGATGGAACAGTTGAATTATCCTGTTTTTGTCTCCCTTTTTTCCACACATCCTGCTTCCTCAAACCTTCTAAGAAGCCCTGCCCCAGAAGGTGAGCGCCTGCCCCAGAGAGCGCCTGCCCCAGAATCCTCTCTGGTTCCTCTCTGGTTCCACCCTCCCAGGGTGCTCCTTGCTCCATGCAGAAGTTCTTCTCTAGTTCCTGCTGTCCCAGCAATCTGGGTCCTCAAGGCGAGGCTGAGTTAAGGGTGGAGCCAGGAGGCAGGAGAAGGAATGTGCACCACTCCTGGCCAGTTGCCAGGGAGAATCAGGAAGGAGGTGGTTACTATGGCAACTGGAGCATCTTGAGAGGTGAGGAGAGGTGGTGGATCCGGGTACCCCAGGCTGGATGGGGTCCTGTGTGGGACTTGAGGGTTGGGTTTCTAACTCTGGGGCCAGCCCTGATTCCCTCTGCTCCCTTTGTACCTCCTATTGTCGCCCCTGAACAACTGGCTTGTGGCCAAGCCGAGGGTCCTTCTTAAGGATAGGGACCAGCCCTGGTTGTGCCTTTCCATCTTCTTTCTATTTGCCCCCAACACACCCTCCTGCTCTCTGACAGGGTTGGGGTGGAGGCTAGGGGTGTAAGGGAGCTGTCCGCCTAACGATCTGTTAATTAATTTCATTAAGCAGTTTATGACAGACAACATGCATTTTCTCCACCCTGGGTTTCCCCAGACCTGCGGTCCCCTCTCCTGCTGTGACTGGGAAAAGGGTGTGTGGGGGGGAGGGGAGGCAGGGCATCTTCCTCCCACTTCTGCCCGTCTGCTGCCATCGATCCTGCTAACCACCATCTCTGCAAAAAGAAGCGCTGGGCTCCCGCCAGGGCTTCTGGCTCAACCCTGCCCCCTCTCCCTAGGGTGGCTTCCAGCTTCTGCAGCGCCCCCCCCAACCCCCCCCCCCCCGCCCTGCTTCAAATTCTGCAGATATGGTTCAGTGCAGCAGCCCCCGCCTGCCGGGAAAGGGGGCAGGGAAGGAGAGATCAGAGTGGAATTGGGGTTCCCTTCGGTGCCAGAGGCTCCTCAGCAATGATGGCCTCTTGCCTGACCCTGCTCTCAGGGCTGGAAACCCCCTCCTTGCCCACCTCTCCCCCACCATGAAAGCACTCTGCCCCTTGTTCCTCTGCAGAAGTAAGCTCAAGAAAGGGGGACTGTTGGGGGGAGTGAGTATTTCAGGAGGTGCCTAATCGGGCTAATGTGAAATGTCCATCTCTGTGTGGCTGGAGGGAGGTGGGAAGGCATCTGTGTGCACACCCAAATGCACCTTTTGGACAACACCCTTGAATGAGGGCTGGGAAGGAGGGTCCTGCCACCCATCCCCGCCCATGGGGGCTCACTGCAGTGGTGCAGGCCCCACCCTGTGCCATCCCCCCTTCTCTTTCCCATTTCTGTCTCATGCTGTGGGTCCTTCTCTCTCTCTCCCCCTCGTGTCTTTACGCCTCCCTCTGTCTCTCGGTCCCTATCTCTTTCAGGCTCTGTCTCAGTCAGTCTCTTCTTATATTTCTTACTGTCTCCCTCTCTCTTGCTCTCTCCATCTCTCACTTCCTACAGCTCCTGTCTTTCCCTCTTTCTCCTCGCTTCCCTCTGAACATGCCTGTCAGAGATTTCAGGAAACACCCACCACCACAGGTGCCAGCACTAGAGAGGGGGGGTGGGAAGAGGGACATGGACCCCGTCCCCTTACGTTCCGCAGGGACCATGAAATCTGGGCGAACCTCTGTGGCTGCAAACCCAGCGGTTCCCACCCTCGAAGCCCATTTCTCCGAGTCCACTACCACCGCTGTGCTGGACCAGCTGCACGGTTGCTATAGCTACCGGTCCGCGCATCATTTCTCCCGGGACTGCCGCTCTCCAACCACGGGTCCCGCACAGGAACCGAGATCACCTGGAGAGGGTGCCCGATGGGGTACCGAGGGGTGCAATGCAGGGGCCTCCGCCCCTGTGAGGAGGGGACATCCCCTTCCCCATTCCCCTCCCCTTTCAGTACTGGGCTCTCCCCCAGATCGTCTGTCAAGCTCTAAGATCCCGGAGCCCCGCTGCGCCCTCTCCCCAGGCGACGCTCACCCTTTGTGGGGACCTGGGTCGCCATGCCAGGCCGGAGCAAGGGGCAGCTGGATGTAGAGGCGGTGAAGGAGCGCTGGCTGCAGCAGCTGGAAGCCGGACCGACTGTTGTCAGGGGTAGATGGGGGGGAGCCCTGGTGTTCGGGGGGCCGTAGCCAATGGGGACCCGGAGAGCCCGCCCCCGTCCAGGCCACCAGCCCCCGCCCACTGCCGACGTCCCCGCCCCTTCCCCAAGGGTGGGGGCGCCCTCTGCCGGGGCCAAGGGGGCGCCCAGGCTTTCCACGGCGAAGGGACTGACAGATTCGCACAGCGCTGTCAAGAGAGAAAAGCACGTTTTATTGGAAATCTGAGCGGCAGAGTCTGTGGGGGCAGGGCTAGGGAAGAGGGCAGTCCGGGTGGTGATGGGCGTGCAGAAGGTGGGTGGGAAGCGTCAAGTGCCAGGGGCATCTTGTGGGGGTGAAAAGAGCGAGGGGCAGGAGAGCCCTCCAGACCCGCTACCCCAGCCCTTTGCCCCCTCCTCCTCTCTCCTCCCTCCCTCAGCCTAGTTAGAGCTTCGGGACCTGGCTGGGGTCCATCGCGCCAGGTGTCTCTACCGCCGGCGGGTGGACAGACCTGAGAGGGAAGACAGAGAACCCGGAAGTCAAGAGGGGCACCCCAGCTCCTCTGAAAGGTGGGGGCACGGCAGGGCAGTTCAAGCCCCTCCCCCCGAACCCCCGCCTCCCCCCCGGGCCCAGGGAGGGCCAGCAAACGGCTTCTTGGAATCAACTCGCATTCCCAAACACCCGAAGTCTCCCCAAACTCACGGCGGATTGAACTGCGGAAAGTTCCCTCCTCTTCATCAGGTTCCCCAGTCCTGGGAAAGGAGATGCATCAGGAATTGGGGGTGGAAAAGGAGAGAGGCAGCTACACTCGGAAGACCTCAGCGCCGGCCCCACTTCACAGACCAATCCACTGAGACCCACAGATGGGCAAGGAGCTGGTTGGAGCCGCGAGAAAATCCAGTGCACCCCAGGAGCAGTTTAAGTGTTTGGCAGGAGGCGCTCCAAGCCGATAATAGCGAGTACCTCCCAGAGTGCTGAGGAAGGAACTAGAATTTGGAAGAGGAGGTACATAGCCAAAGCGACTTGAGGGCAGATTGCCTGGAGACAGCCTAGGTTAGAAACCCAGAGCCCTCATCTTCCAGTTGAATGATCTGGGGCGTGTGAACACCTTCCCATGTCTCGGTTTCCTCATCTGTAAAAGGAGGTTAATAACAGCACCTACTTTATAGAGATGGTGTGAGGGGTAAATAACACATAATGAAACAGCATCTTGCACGTGGGACACAATAAAATACTACCTTTATTTATAATAACATCTACAAATCTTAATAGGAAGAAGATATTCATACGTTGCTTGGGCTTTAAAATTTTATTTAACGATGAATCAAAGAGCTAGGAACAGGACTCTGAGCTAAACTGGGCTGCCAAGTGAGGTGATCTCATTTCGCCGCGACTCTTTCACAGCACTTATCACGCTTTGTGGTTTTATATTTGTGGGTCTGTTGGAACCCATGGCCACCGCCCCCACATGGCTGGAAGCTCAGGCATACAGAGAGGGCAGTTAACTCGTGGCTTGGTGCCAAGGCCTGGCTTGGGGCTGGACACGTAGTAGGTGCTTAATACTTATTTGCCGAAGGGTCTGGCTGTGGATTGAGTGGACTTCTGACCTCACCCCCAACTCTCCTTTACAGCGGGAGGAGATGAGGGTCCAGAGAGGCTTCTTACCTCTGTTGCTGGTTGAATTTGCACCGGCATCTTCTGCCTGTGGGTGGGGCCGTGGAGAGGAGTGCGCTGAGATTCCGCACTAAGCCTCACAGCGAGCCACAGATCTCGCTCGCCGGGGCTGGAGTGGCTGAGGATAAGGGTGGGGCAGGGACGGGGCAGGGGCGGAGCCGAGGGCGGGGATAGAAGTGGGGGCGTGTCCGGGGCGGGGGTAGAGGCGGAGCGGACCCGAGGGCAGGCAGGATAAGAACGGGGCGGGGCCGGAGGCGGGAATGGGGGAAGGGCAGAAACTGGGACGATGGGTAGAAACAAAGGCGGGGCCAGGGGCCCAGATAGGGGCGGGGTTGAAGGCGGAGCGGGGGGTTGGGCGGGGCTGGGGCAGACACCGGAAGCGACTGAAGGCAGGGTAGGGGGACTCACTCAAGACGATGAGTATGCCCAGGATGAAGAGAATCCCGGCGATTATAAGGCCTCCGATCCGCAGGGATTGGTAGTCTGTGGGCAGCAGGGAGGCGGGTGAATGCAGGGAGGAGGGTGAATGCAGGGAGGGGAGGAGGAAGGATAGGAAAGGGGCAGAATGGGAAGGAAGGGGCAAAGAGGAAGGATGGTGAAGAGGAGAGAAAGGACATCAGTGAGAGGAGGAGGGAGCGATGTGGGACAAGGGGGATCAGGGAGAAAAGGGAGGAGGTGGACAGGGCAAGGAGGAGGGAGGAAGCAATCGCGTAAGGAAGGATGATGGAGCGGGTGAGGGGGGCAGGGAGAGGAGAAAGGCAAGTGGCAACAGAGAATGGGCCGTGGGATACTAAGAGGTAAAAGGAGAGTCAGAGAGACAGAGGGGGACCAAATAGAGAGACAGAGACCCACAGAGAGACAGAGACAACGGGAGATTGAGACAGAAAGAGTCAGAAAGCCAAATCAAGAGAGAAAGAATTAGAATTACAAAGATATAAACACCGAGAGTCTAGAGAATGATGGAGACAGAAGCAGAGAGAGGTGGGGAGAGGGGAGGAATGAGGAGAGGGCAGGCTAATCAAGCCCAGCACCCAGAGAAAGATGCCCCTCCCTCACCGTAAGTGAATGGGTCATGTTCCTGTGATGCTTCTGGAAAGAGAAGAAGAAATCAGGGTTGGATGCTTCCTAGGACCCTGGACAGAGAGCGGCATCATGAGACCCTGTGGGGATTTTACATTCTCGGGGCTGGAGTCTGGGGACTGTTAGACTCTGAGTAGGCTGTCCACCCTCTCTTGGCTGCCCCTCTGCACTGTCCAGGGTGGGGCAGGAGGCACCTGACTGCCTCAGCTCTCCATCTCATTCCAGGTTGTCTATGGTTCCATCATCCACGGGAAGCCAGTCTCCATCCCACCCTCCTCCTTTGCCCGACCTGGGGCATCCTCTCCCCTCCCTGAGATACCAGCCTGTGACTGGACCCCACGTCAGACCCCACTGAGACTCAGTTCAGACTGGAGGCTCCAGGTTGGTTCTCTTGCAGCGTTTTCCCCTACCCTTGCCACCCCTGGGGCTGAGGTAGTAGTGGGCGGCCTCCCCCAGACTCACCTGCGTTGACCATGGCAAGGAGACCCACACAAAGAACCAAGATGTAGCTGAGAGATGCCATTGTCCTGGGGAATACCAAAGGTCAGGAAATGCGTGCCCTCATTCTCCCACTACCGGGGCCTGAACCCAAGCGGTTAAGTCAGAGACAGTCCAGGGACTTAATTCCAAAAGCATCTGTCATCCAGCTTGGTCACCCTGAGAAACAGAGGCGACCCCTGCTTCACCAGGACACAGCGTCACCAAAACAACCCACACAATGGGGGTCACCCAGCAGCAAGGACACGGGTGAGGCATATACAGTCCACAAGGATCTCCCGCAGGCCGGGGCCTCCCCCACTGCAGGCCCCAGGTTCCCCGCACCTACCCTGGCAGGGGAGAGCAGAGGCCTCACCCCACCCAGGTGGAGAGACAGACACTGCCAGGGACGAGACAGCCAGGAAACGCCCAAGGGCCACCTGCCCGCACACCACGGCCTCGCTGTGTCCGTAATAGCCCGGCTCTCCTGCCCTCAGCCGCTGGCCGGCTCTCTGCCTGACCCTGGGTATAAATATCTCCCACTTCACCCTGGAGGAATTTGCCTCGCACAGGCCACCATGGCAACAGCCTTCCTCCCCCCACTTGGGGGTCATGCACAACCCTGCCCGGGTGAGGCCGGGCTGCCACACTGCCACCAGCTGCCCCCGTGGGAAAGGCCACCCCTTCTCCTCTTCTGGAAGCAATGAAAACAGGGAAAACATCCCTTGGCCTGCCTCTGGGTGACATCTTTCACCAGCGGACAGCACCAGGCGAGTGACAGGAGGCCCAGGCCGGTGGGGCTGAGATAGAAGACAGATGCCAGGGGCGGGGACGATGCACGCATGCGCACATGCACACAGACGCACAGTGGGGCTGCAATGGGGACGATGCCCGCTCCCCAAACTTCTGGTTGGAGCAAGGCGTGGGGTGGAGACACAGGCACACATTCGTCCCCATCTGGGCCTCTGGTGTCCTCAATCAGTGACGCAACCCGACCTACACACATGAGTGTGCGAAACCCACACCCAGCCAGTGTGCACGCGCCACAGCAGGGGCAGGGCGGCGCTGCACCCACACTTCCACCCCCGAGGGGACCCCAACGTCCCAACCACACTCCCTTCCTCTTGGGTCTGGCCTGCCTGGGAAGCGGCTCCTGCTCCCAAAATAGGCAGCCCAGCCAGGCCAGGGGTGAGGCCCTGGAGGGGAGGGGCGGGGAGCGCTCACCCCAGTCAGACTGTCCCCTGCCGAAAGAAGGCCCCCAAACGTCCGGCTGTGCCCCGGGGCCGAGCACTTTGGACCCCCTGGCCCAGAGCTGGCCGCGCTGCCCTCAGCGGTCTCCCCTCCCGGCCCAACCCCACCCCTACCCTCCCCAACCCGAGGCTGTAACTGGAGCCGGGCTGGAGGGGGGCCAGGGGGCGGCCCCCAGCCCAGACCGCCCTGGCCCGCTAGGTTAACTCTCTCAGCTCGGAGGGAGGAACAGTAGGCAGTCAGCGGTGGGGAAAGCTGGGGAGAGGAGGTGCTGGCAGGCAGGCTGGATTACAGGCAGGCATACACACACACACACACACACACCAGCCTCACAAACAGCTCAGAGAGCTTCTGAACTAGGATGAGAGGATGGGTGTCAGTGATTTTCTGTGCTGCTCCCTAGGAACTGGGCCCAGCCTGGGCTTAAGGTCACCTGGCCTAAGAGCTTAGGAGTCCACTGACCCTTGACCCCGGTGCCCTGCAGGGCCCTCATCAGCACCACAGGACTGTCTGGGGGGCATTTCAGTGTCTGAGTAACTTGTCTGCTGCTGACTGTGAGGTCTCGCATGGATATACACACACACACACACACACACACAGAAACCGAAAGACCCAGATAAACAGGCACAAAACAAGACAAATACATGTATATAAATACAAACTCAGAATAACACACCCAGGGAGAAGCCCAAAGACACACACACACACCAGCGCTTCTTATACCAGTCACAAAATATCAGGACAGACACATCTGTATACACACACAACACATACATATTCACTAAGGTGGTGCCCCTACAGAGACACAATCAAAGACCCAGTTGGCCACACAGCTTTAAGCACACTCACAAATGGTCACAAAGATACACACTGTCTGTACAGAAATACACCAATGCGCACACACTACACTTGAATACATTCAAAGGCGTGCTACAGCTTCTGAGCTAGGGTGAGAGGGTGGGTGCCAATGATTCTCTGCGCTGCTCCCTAGGAACTGGACCCAGCCTGGGCTTAAGGTCAGCACTCCTACACAATCTCAGGCATGTGAAGGCACACAAACTCCATCCATTTGTACACACACACACACACACACACACACACACATATTTATGTGGGCTCACAGAGAAGCAGAAACACTATCAAGGACACAGCCATACAAGAAGCCACGCTGCGGTTTCATAACCATGAAAACAGACACACACACACACAGATGTTTGTGTTCACATCCTCATGCATGGGCAAACAGGCACGCCACTGGCCACACAGTGACACGCGTACAGGCTGACGCGCTGTGTTCACACACTCGGAGACACCATCAAACCTGCATTGATCTGTTTAGCCCCAAACCAACCTGTCCCTGAGCTCCTGTGGCCCCCCAGAACCCCGTGGAAGACATCGCACCTGGCATCTTCACCGGCGGGCTGGGCTCACAGGCTCTGGTAACCGAGAAATCGGGGACCAGCTCTGGACTCTGCCATTCCCTGTGGAGTGAGAGAGCTTGAGCAGTCCAAGAGACTATTCCGTGCCTCGGTTTCCCATCCTACAGAAAGGAGACGTCACTAAGGCCACACGTATCACTCTGGGCCAGGCTCAGAGGTCTCTGAACCCGACCTTGTCTTATTATTAACCCCATTTTAGAGATCTGCAAACCAAGGGTTAGCAAAGTGCAGATCCTTCTCCCAAGGTCCCTCTGGTGGTTAAGGGTAGAAATTGCCCTTGCCTGGAAGAGACCTGGGCTCAGGTACCTCACTCTGCAGGACACAGATCAGCAGCAGGTAGATGTACTCACACTCAGGCACAAGTGGCCCTCACACACACACAAATACATACACGCATGCATGTGCGCATGTGCACGTGGCCTCACAGGACCCTGGCAGCGTCAAAAAGCTCCCTCATCCTCATCTGTCTGGGCCTCTGCCCCTGATGGCCCTGTATCCCAGGGTCACCAGCAGCCCCGGTTAATGATAACCCTGATGTTTACATAGCCTTGGGGAGGGGTGGTAGAGGAGTCAGGGGGACAGGGGGCGAGGGGACACCTGGCCAGCTCTAGCCAGCGCCCAGTTTCCTCCCCTCTCAGAACCAGCTGCTCCAGAGAGGAGAGGCCCTGCCGCCTTCTAGCTGGTGATGGACCAATGACTTAACTTCTCTGTGGCTCAGTTTCTCCTTCTGTAAAATGAAAATAATAAGTGTATTCGACTCTTATATATCTGGAGGGTGGTCTGGATGATTATCTGAAATGACCCATGGAAAACATTTAGAACACAGTTAAGTCTGGCACACAGTAAGTGATCCATAAAAGAAAAAAAAAAAAGCTCTCACCATCATCATCCTTGTGATTCTTCTTATTGTAAACAGGAGTAAGAACCTAGCTGCGCTGAAACTCAGTGAGTATGGATTTAAGCCTGTCTGTCTTTACTCTGTGTCCCTGGCCCTAAGTTCTTTATTTAGCTTTTCATAGACCCTGTAAAGAAGTTTCTCATCCTTGCTTTACATCTGAAGTACCAGAGACTTGAAGGGCCTTGCACAAATCACAGAGCTCCTCGGGTGCTGGATAAGTGCTTGGTCCAAAATTCACCCCAACCTGTTGGGTGCCCACTTTGCTCTAAATCCTCTCTGTCCTCTCCCTGAATTCTCACACATCTGAGAAGTAGGTGCCACAACTGCCCCATTTGACAGATGAGCAAACTAAGGATTAGGGGCCCAGATCTGAGTGGCCCCGCCAAAGCAGATGCTGCTAAGCCCCTTGTCCTCCAAGGGTTCTGGGTGTGTGCAGCAGTGCCAACAGAGGCTGTGTTCTCTTTATGCCTTAGTTTTCCCATCTGTAAAGTGGGGGTTAGTAATACTACCCACCTCACAGGCTGTTGGTGGGGGCGGGGTGGGGGGGGGGAAAGAGCCGAGTAAATTTGTGTCAAGACTGATGCACAGCAAGTTCTCAATGAGCATTATTACTGCTATTTCACATTGCTTGTTGAGTAACAGGGGCCATTTATTTCCTTTTTTAATTTAATCGATAGAATCTATCCAGACTGCTAAAAAGCTTGGTCCAAAATGAAAACAGCCAGTATCCATAGGTTCTGACCTCCAAAGGAAGAGAGGCCACAGAGCCAGCTGCCTGGGCTTGCTCCCTGGCTTTGCCCCACTTAGATAACCTAGATCGCAAATGTCTGGACCCCTCTCCTCAGTATTTCCATCTGTAAAATAGCCGTATGATCGTCTCAGCCTCAGNACACACACACACACACACACACACACACACACACACACGAGAGGCCAACAGACAGAGACAGAGAAAAAGAGAAAGAGAAAGACAACTCAGATAGACAGAGGTAGAGAGTGGGAAACGGACTAACAGAGTCAGAAATACTGAAAAGGAGAGACACAAAGACAGGGAAAAAGGCATAAACAGAAATTTAGACACCAAAGACCTAGAGGGAGAAAGACAGGCTGAAGAGAGACTGAGAAAGAGGAGAGAGAAGCCGGGGCAGAGCGTGCCAGCTGGCGGCATGGAGGGTCGCCTGGCATGGGAGATGTAGTGGCCAAGACCTGGGCCGAGCTGGGAGGGCAGAGAGAAGCCGCTGCCTCGGCAGGGGTCAGGGGGCATGGGAGGGGCGGGAATTCTGCTACTGCTGCTGCTGGTTGGGCTGGGGGTGGGGGAGGCCTGGAGACCCCCAAAGGGAAAGTGTCCTCTGAGTTGCTCCTGCTCCAAAGACAGTGCTCTGTGTGAGGGCTCCGTGGACCTGCCCGAGATCCTCTCCCCGACCCTGCTGTCGCTGTGAGTGTCAGCCCTCTGAGGGCCTGAGGCTGGGGATGGGACCCCGGGGAGCTGGAGGGCCCATCAGGATCTTGGGAGGGGGCAGCAAAGGATGTTGGGAGTCCTGGGAGGGGGCTACTGGGATTTGAAAGGGAGCAGGAGTGGGGATGGGAATTCCAGAGGGCAGGGGCATCTTGGGGGGGGGCTGGGGGGAGGGAGAACCATGGGGTGCGCAGAGTGCTGCCAGGATCCTTGCCAAGCGAGGAGGGCAATTGCCCGTCTCCCCTGGAATGCAGGGGAAATACACACACCCAGGGTCAGGTTCCCTCCTGCCCCCCTCGGACAGGAGCCGGCTCTGGGATGGGAGTGGCGCACTGGAGCGGTTTTCTCCTCACCCACCATTGCCCACATCCCCAGCTCATTCGTTAGGACCCGAATCTCCCAGCTGAAGGCCGGCAGCTTCCTGAGGGTGCCGTCACTGCACCTGCTGTGAGTGGGGTCCGGCTGAGTGAAGACTTCCGGGGGGGGGCTGTCCATGCACATGCATTGGGGGGCCGAGTGTGCACACTTACGTGTTTGTGCATGTCTGTGAAAATATCTGTGTGATCCACATCCTCACACTGCATGCCTGTGTGTGTGATCATGCCCAAATGGGCTGGGGTTGCGGGGAGCCAAGGTTAACATGTCAGGTAGGGAGCAATGACTCTGGAAAAATTTCTCTCTTACCTCCTTGCCAGCCTCTTCACATCCAACTCCTTCTCCGTGATTGAGGATGATGCGTTTGCGGGCCTATCGCACCTGCAGTACCTGTGAGTGAGGCCAGGAGAGGGGGGCAGGAATGGGGGCCTGGGAGAGGAAGGAGGCGCCCCTCCGTGGCTCCTAGAGTGGGGGGAAGGGAGGAGCTTGTTGCCCTGGGGAGGAAGTGTCTGGACAAGGGATCACCTCGGAGGGGCAAGACGGCCGGCCTCTTGAGTGGGGTTGGGGCTCCTGCTCAGCTG